CTGCAGGAGTATCCATGCTCACCCCTGCCCAAAAGCAGGCAGGGATTTTTTTGGGGGGAGGACTGATTTGAAAGGGTACAAGAAGGAGCTGAGTCCCTGGCTGCTGCTGCTGCCACTGCCTGTGGCAGGGTCTGGCAGCATAGACCAGGGAGATCCCAATGGATACCTCCAGGGCCGGAAGGATTTCGTAGTGGTGTACCAAAGGGAGACCTATGGCAGGATCCTACTGTACCTGTCTCCTTGCAAAGGACTCGCTGCCACCTTTTCAGAGGATTCATCAGGAGGAAGAGGACTAAATACTTGGAGGATTAGAGGGCACTCTTGTAGGCAAGAATGCGTTTTTTGCCTGAATTCCCTTGGAGGCAGCAGTTTTGCTCACTGCTTGTTTGCTTATCTTTGTCTTGTTGACTACAGGGCTTGAAGACTGTAAGTTTTAAAACAAAAAAAAAAAAACCCAAACCCAAATCAAACCAAGCTATTTTCTTTCATGAGCTGACTGCTCTTGGCTGGCCTAAAAATAACAGGCCATGTATATCTGAAAGGACTTTGTGAACAAGGTCTTCAAAACCAGCCAGACCACTGTATGTATTTAAAATAGCAAACATGGCTAATTTTTTAATGGTCTTCAATACACTGCCAGGCTTGTGTAATCTTTAGCCGATAAGCATTCATTTACAGTTATCTTAAATAATGGGAAAACAAAGACAGCCTTTTTTGTCTTGAGCAATGGAAGAGTTATTTTGAAACCAGACCCCTTGAGGGAAATGGCAGGGCTTAAGGCCGATATTTATTGCGTACATAGAAAACTGGGAGACTTTTTACATGAAAACTAGAGATCCCAAATCATTAACTATGTATAGCCTTAACAAATACCCTTTGAAGCAGTATTTGAAGGAAACATTGCTAGAACAGAGTCCAGGGCTCCCCGCTCTTAGTTTCACGCCGCCACGAACACAGCAGCAATGGTGACCAGAACAGACCCACACCGAGAGCTCTGCTGGTTAATATTCATTTAACAACAAGTATTTTTATTCAGCCCGATAACTGCTCTGATTATCTACTCTAATCTTGCTGGGTTGTTCCTTTGTTGTGTGAACGTGGATGAATTCTGATGCCAGGGCAGTTGCTGTGTTTCAAGCAGTGCCGTGGCATTGAACACTTGTGACTTCTTGCCTTCCCAAAGATTTCCCAGAGGAGGCACAGGCATCTTCATGGGTTTCATAGGAATAATAACCATCATTTTTTCATTTTCTTAATCACCTCTTGCAGAACCCTTAGAAACAGTCCACATCTTCTTGCAGGTTGAATACAGCTGAACTAGCTCAGCTCTTTTTAAATCAAGTTTAAGGGGGTTTATAAATGTTTTGCAAGCGTTGCATCCCTGCTAGAACAAGTTGTCCCAGTAGGTGATTGCCTGGCCTGTTTTTGTTTTTCAGGAAAGCCTAGTTTTCGGTGTGAATTTGTCTAGCTGCAGTTTCATTTTGTAGCATGGGCCCTTAAGGGTGTGAGCCCACATGTAAACTGTAGGTTAAAAATGATTTTCCAAGCAGAAATATTCAGACTGGGCTCTGCCTCCCTCACTGTCCTTTTGGCATGTGGAGTTGCCCACCTTTCCTAAGTGAGTTTGGCTATCGACCATAACAGCACACGTGATTGAAGAGAGAATCGCCTTGTGACATGCGATTAAAGGTAACACTGCTTGGAGCTCTCCTCCTCGAGTCACGCGCTGGTCCCAGGGAGGAGGGAACAGCAGAAAACCCCGGGTCGCAGGAAAGCTCTATATGGAGTGTGCGATCCTGTAATTAAGGGCTGTCGCAGAGTGCACGGAAGGGGAAGATGTGTTCCAAATGTAGCCTGAAATTACACATTCAGTGTGCATTTAACCACTCGCTATTAAAGTTTTTATTCTTCTTGATTGTGTAAGCCTCAATAACGCTGCGGCTTGGTCCTGGCTCCTTATGTTTCTGTTCCTAACGTGTGCCCAGCCCTGCCCTTCCTCCTCCGCAGCGGGCAGGTTAGCGGCTAATTTTGGCACAAGGGGATAAAGAGCTGCACCATCCAGTTCCTGCTAATGTAAATGCTAGAGTGCACTGGGCACTGTCCTGGCATCGCAGTTTTTGGAGTGTGTGATGAAATTATACTTTTTTTAAAGGAACACAAGTGTGGGTCAGCCCTTCTTCTGGCTGGGCAGGAGCAGACCCTGCCTTTGTTCTCTCTTGGCAGAAGAGATGCCAAGGAAGGACAATTTGGTCCTTTGTTCCCGCAGGAGGGAGGCTCGGCTCCCTGTGCCTGTGTCAGGTGAAGGGCTGCTTTTCCTTCGGGCTGGCTGGGTTAAAAGCAGCTCCTGTTCTTGCTGCGGTGGTGAGGTAAGTGCAGGCAGCAGCAGCCCTGCCAAAACCCACCGTTTTCTGCCAAACGCACTGGTAAACAGCAACGCCGAGTGGAAGGATGTTAACATCTCAGCGCCTCGGTTTGGGTGGGATACATTGGAGTGTAGAGCCCATGGGGTGGATTTCTCCAGCTGGTGTAAGCGGGAGTTTTATTTTTCTGCTCTCAGATATTGCTGCTGAGGAGTTAACTAAGAGCTGTGCTAACAGCTTTAAACTCTGCTCTATAAACTGTACCCAGCATGTGTCTCATGATGTGCTCTCCAGCTTGTCCAGGCTGGCTGAAAGCAGGGCTGATCCTTTGCAGAGGCAAGGAATGAGGGTGTTGCGCCTGTGCTGGTGGCCGAAACCCTCTGTGGCTCTTGCACAAAAGCTTTCATGTGCTGCTCTTGCCAAAAGACTTTTGGGTCCTACGTTATCCTTGCAGAGCTGTGCATCCAGACCCTTCAGTGTGCTGAAACTCGCAGCGAAGGGGGAATCTGTGAGCCCCGCTGCCCTGCCCTTCGGTGTGCTGCCTGAATCCTGCCTGCAGCCGAGGCCGTGGGAGAGGTGCCCAGGACTCACGGTCTGCCCAGCCCTGCAGCGCCAGGCATCGCCCTTCGTCTGTCCATCCCAGGGGCTTTCCCCAGCATGACCTGCAGTCGGGCAGGTCTGGCGGGTCCAGTCCCATCTCTGCACCCGCTGCCGATCGCGAGGGCACTCCTGCCAGGCAGGTTTCCTTGCGAAGCTCCTCACCCAGCTTTGCGTTGGATAAATTACGAAACATGTATGAGCTTTACAGAATTGTAGAGTAACCTAAAAGCACCCTTTCAGCA